ACAGAATCCACATATTCCTGCCAGTTTTAATATCTATTTTGTAATCAACAAGTGTGTAACCCCGGTCAAAGTTTGACACTTCTCTGGCCATTATCTCCGTAACCGTTCAACTTTGGACATAGGTGTTTTGGGTTATATCGGCATACTTTAACATAAGGAACACCCTCCCGAAGTTTGGCACATTCCTCCTGGGACACCCTGTATATATAAGTCGCACGATATCGACAGCGGTTTTCTGTCACCTGGGTACAGACTGCTCTAAAAACACAAATCTAATCCTTTACTGAAGTAAAAGTCACTCAGTGCTTCGTCAGTATGCATTACTGCAATGAAATCGATTATCAGTGGTTGGAGAAAGATCGTTCTGAAAGCACAATTTTTATCAGGGTTGGCGCAATCCTGAATACCGCTCCATGCGACAAGAAGCTCCTTCCACACAGCTGAAAACAGTCCCGCTTTCTAAACGCTCCTCACACTTAACAACACAAAATTCGCAGACACTGTGACGAAAACTAACTCTTATTTACATTTTTGCTTAACATGTGTAGGTGACTACCAATTAATGGTCAATATAAAGAAATTAGCAACGAAAAGTAAAGACAAGAAAGAAGAAGGCTGTGTTCCTCCTAAAATTATGGCATCCCAGGAGGCCGCTTGGTTCTCCCGTGTTGACACTCTGATCGTCTGTTTGTTTGTTTTGTTAACTGACGCTGTTTCTTCCAGTGTCTGGACAGCAGCAGTATTTTCGCATCCAGCCCAAGGACGTGAAGGTGCACGAGGGAGGCGAAGCCTTGCTGGAGTGTGAAGTGACGAACCAAGCTGGACAGGTGCAATGGACCAAGGACGGCTTCGCTCTAGGTAACTCATCGCGTTGATTATCAGTACATCTATTGTACTCGTACGTCTGTACATATTCTGTGCGCCTAGAAACAAACAAAAGTCGTTTCAGATTTATTTCACTTGTTGATACAAAATGACATGTCCCCAGCATCAACCTGAAATTTATGGTACATCCAGCCCATTTTAGTACCATTTATTAATTATTGATAGACGTACATATAAAAATAAAAAGCACTTCTCTTTATTCGAAAATTACTTTTAAAGAAACGAAGTACACAAATAACCGTAAAATATTAGTCAAATTTTATGTGTTTCTTTCGAAATTTATTTCCTACAAAATCTTTGATTAAATTGTCGTAATACATCTTGCAATGCAATAGTCTTAACTGTTAAAATTGCTGAAATTGTTAATTTCTCTTAGATATGACAGACCGCAAGAAATGTTTCACCCATTTAAAGGTGTTTAACGACCTCAAACCCGTTGCATCTTGTAAGAATAATATTAAAAAAGAGGGTTTTCTCTATATTTTGAAATGTGCCAGTAAGGCCATCAATAACGAACCTTTGAAGTGTAGTAGAAGATTTCGATATCATAATTGTCTGCTGTTGATAAAATGCAGAAGATGATGCAAAAAAACAGGACCAATATTCTCTGGTTTTATGTTCAGCAATTTCTTAATGTTGTCTTCTGTGTTCGCCTTGTCGTTTTCTTACAAAAAGAAAGCAAAATATATCCAAAATTTATTTCGTACACTATTTTTTTTCCAGTTGTAAAATTAATTCACCAAGAATCATATTAACAATTTTGAACGATCGATTTTTGTTTCCCCTCTAAAATAATAAATGTGTCTTTAGTTTCATTAAATATATTTAAAAAACACAATTTCCCCTTATACGGACGTCTTTTGAGTATGCATCGCGATTGCTATATATTTCGTTAAAGAAAATGCTTTCTTTTGTAAGGATAACATTCGTTTCTTACTCCGATGACGGAAGTCTGGAGAGAAGTCCACAATTCTGCAGTCATCAGTAACTAACCATATTTCCACCGCATTGATTTGCTAACAGAATTCATTCTTTGCAACACACGATTTCAGAGAACTGTTAGGACAGCGCTGTCATATTTCGCAAGCTTTCTCAGACAGAATGGCATGGGTTGTTGCAGTCAGCCTTGTATACTTAGTTTCTTGCGCCCCTTTCCTTTGCTGTAGATGTGATCTTACTGCATTCCATTGATGTATACACGCTGATAAAGTCTGTGCTCTTTCTGAACAGAATTGGGACACCTCGTGACGTCAGTGTAAGACTCAGCAGCCCTGTTTCTTGGCAGATCTGACATTGACTGAAACACGGAATGTAGACATCTGTGGGTCTTTCATTTTTCAGTCTTTCCCGGAAACCTGAGTATTTCCCAGACGTGTTGGGGGCGTTGTTTAAACACTTTACCTTCTACCACCCTTAATACTAAGACCCATCGTTTCAATAAATCTTGAGACGGTTTTCATTAGACGTTTAGACACGCTTCGGGGAGTGGAGGAGTGATTCCTCCGTTTGGTTTCACGTGTCTTCAGATATCAGCAAACTGACCTACGTTGCATATGTTTCGAGGCACGGCTATGATTATAGTGAAGTACTTACCATGTCTTACTCCATCAGCAAAAGGTTTTCGGAGACGGTCAGCCACGGCAACAAGGAATTTGTTGTAAATTTGATGAGATGAATAAATAGTTGTAGCAGAACCAGAGTGCATCTAGAAGTGTGGGTGACGTCAAAGTAGATGTTCTGTGGCTGCATGCGTATAACCTGGGCTAAAACATGCGCCACTCATCTGTAGTTCCTGATCACTGTTCTGCAGATCGGCCATAACAAATAGCAGGTCATCAACTGTCTGAAGCACCAACTTATTATATATGGACAAATACCGTCTTAAGTGCAACAATTTTATTGTAGTTTTTACTTCTTTTTCCTCCTCCACACTACATGTTTCGGCCCTAAATGGCCATCATCAGGTGTGTATCACTCACGTAACTGTTACACTGCTTGTTAAAAATGTAAAAATCCCAGTCTTTCTAATTGTATAAAATCTTTGTTAATCTACACGCGTCGATTTGATTTTTAAATTAGCACTTTTTAAACCTTAATTCAAGTTAAAATGTCTATAAGATCTTTGTTGCACTTTGTTGCACTTAAGACGGTATTTGTCCATATATATTGTGTGAGTGTAACAGGATGCTGAAATATAATATTGTAAGCACCAACTTCTCCTCTGTCACTGGCCATTCTCCCAAATTTATGGTAAGGGCGAATTTGTCCCTATGCTTAACTAATTAAGTACTATACCACGAAGACGCATGGGGGTGTGAATGCTTAGATCCACGTATTCTTTGCCTCGGTACTAGTTGAAGATAAGTGGTCAGCTTCACGCCATGGCCGCGTTACCCCCGGGGGAGACCCCTCCCTCACTGCCTCTTAGATAGGAGGCTGGGTGGGCCGTAGAACCAGGCTGGGCGACGTGGAGAAGAGGAAAATATTGTTATCAAAAAGCATTTCACATTCCCTGCATGTATGGCCGCTTTCTCTTACAGTGGGAGCTAATATTACCTTGTACTTCCCCGTAGCCTTCAGTTTTCTTCACCGAGTCTACATTACAAGACAAATTTCTCTACGCCACTCCACCTTTCACTTTAGCCCAAATGTCCCCTGTTTGAGATCGGGGTGACGTGGAGGCAGTAGTGTTTCCTCCACTTTCCCCAGAATACCCTACATCTTGTGGCTAAAACTGTTTTATCAGTTCATAAGTAGTAGGCTTCTACATGTTATAGATAACTGGAATTCCTTCCCTTTGAAGCCAGCCCCTCATGTATTGTTCGGTTGAGTTGGAATTCGGAACTTTGTTTATCTTCACGTTATGGCATGGGGTGTTATCGAGTTGGGTCGTTAAGTTCGGAACAAGTTTCCCTCTTACCCATTTCTCATAATTTTGTTGGTTCATCTGATGATGGTAATCTCCTGTTGCCTGATGGGATTTCCACATTAACGGAGCAGTTGGGACAGAACCGATTTCTCCCACAGCATGGGTAATAATGAGACTTACCCCTTTGATACTGTGTAAGAGGAATATGAAACGTGACATTGCTTCATTGCGTCAGAAGCAGAGGAGATGTCAACATTTGAAACTAAAAAACATTTACTATTTCCCGTTGGTCAAATCTGTCTCTACCCATTGCTCGTACATAGCCGATTCTGTTTGCTCGAATATAATTTCTTCAGTCAATTTATTTATTCTGCTTCCATATGAAACTGATAGCTCTGTAACGAGCCTAGTATTAATCTTCCCATGTCGGACGTTAATGGTCTCTTTATTTCTGAACTAAAACCATCTTTCAATATGGAGTCTCATCGAATTCGTCTAAATCCAGAACATTTCTGTTCCGTTTTTATTTTTTTTGAGGTGGGGGGGGGGGTTGAAAATAGGCACCTTCGCCAGATTCAAGCTTCCTACATTTTCGCTCAGTTCACTACATACTGCTGTGCCATACGAGAATACATATTTTGTCTTTTATGCTGTCAGCTGAACTTGTTTTGTTGGGACAGTCGAGGAACCCTGCGCCATTTCTTTTTGCATAGCCGTAAACATATTGTTGCTTCCCCAGTCTGAACCAGCAGCTCAATCACTTTTTCATTTTGGGGATATCACGAGGCATGACTCACACTAATTAGCTATTAAACATGTTTACTCAGTATCGAGAAAATAGTCACGAAGTCTGAAACTTGAAAATACGATTCTTGAGAGAGGCCGCTAGCGCATTTAGCAGTCACGTTATGCGCTGCGTGGCGAGCCGAATGTTTCCTCTGCAGCTACAGCGAGACCGTACGCATGCACAACAGGTTTTAAAAAAGCCAATGAACTGGATCTCTTGTTTTTCCTTGCGCTCTTTCCGTTCGCGTTCCTTTTCCGTTTTCCACTTCCCGACGCAAAACGTTTCATATTATGCTTCCAAGTAACAGGTTTCATATGTTCCTGCTCAATAAGTCACATTTCATAATTATATACAGATAAAGTGTGAAATAAAACGCGTACTCTCAGGAAGCAAAGAGAACCCAACTACAGTGCTGATTCAGTTCAAGTGATCATTGCTGTCCAGCGTGACGTCTCAGTCGTTGCACCGTAATTGGGGGGGGGGAAATGAAGAGTGAAAAACGCAATAAACTAAAGACCGTATATAATGCGATGTTTGCGATGTGTTATATACCCTTAATTAAACCGCAAGATATTTCATTGGTAAGGATGATATGATAACTTATAAGCACTATTCTTTCGTCTGAACTGAAATTTTATTTTATTTTTTTTTAATTTGAAACTCGGGGGGGTCCTTCAACCAAACGGGGCCCTACTCCTGCGCGTCCTGCGAATATCTGCAAATTCGCCGCTGGTTTTGTTCATCTGTTTAAATTTACTTTGATATTTTTTGGTTTCGACAAGTTGTTGTCATTTTTATTTTCCACATATTATAAACACTTGCTGTTTTGCCGGTAGATTGTCACCTTTGTATCACAGCCCATCCTTTAATCATCTCTTGACATCGGCGCCGGTGTTTGCATCTACATGGTTTCGGCTTTATTCTAGCGTGAAATATTTGACAAGTTATCCCTCCATTCCGTTTCATCTCTGTCGGTAAAGGTGTCATTGACCCTGTGCCCCAATTCTTCGATTCCTCTTGCGCATGCTCCTCTGCATGAATATTCTCATGTTTCCGCGCTGCTTACGTATGCGTTGTGTTGCTTTAAAATGGGCTAGCGCACATAATTTAGTCAAGGACTGAATGGGTTTAGTTTATATTATGTTAGTCACGTTAAGGGACATGAGATTAGTATCTGTGCCTCGAAATTGGGTTTCTTTTTTTATTTTTCGTATGTTGTAAACCCGTGCCCCTACATTATCTTCCTTGCCCCCGTGACGTAATGACATGGTCAATGTTGGAGTCAAATTCGATGCCCCCGTTGGTGCGCTGTATGTA